TGTTATCGAATTTTAGGGTAAATTGCAATCTCATATTTACCTCCAAAGATTCAGGCTTATTTTCTCGAATAAATTTGTTTGAATTATTTTTGAAAATAGTGAAAAGAGAGTGCAAGCATTGCGTCTACCGTATCTTCAACTCATGATTACTAGCAATAATAATGCCAAGGACTCTCCAAATTTTTTCTTTTCTTTGCCCTTGCACAAGTACCATTCAGAAGCGATAATTTCAAAGATTTAATAAGCTAATATCAGCTTCTATTATATCTTCTTAATAAACAAAAGCTAATTGACTGAACTGAAGTACAAACTTTAGGTGACATGAATAGCATTATTGACCTCACATGTTCATGCCAGCCCAGTAGTTCATAGAGAATTAACCAATGAATTATGGAAACTGTTTATTAATATCATTAATTATTATTAGTATTACTTTTCATTATTAATGTTGTTTATTTACTGATATCAATTAAACCATTAAATTTAAATTAACAGTTACTATTAATCTGTCTTTTTAACGCTACGCTTATAGAAATTGGTTTGTAATTATAAACATTTCTTAGTGGGACTCAGTTTCTTTTTTCTTTTAAAGAAAACGACAAAAGAAGAAGTTTCTCCCTTTTTGTTAATTAATTAATTATTGGTTATCATGAATGATAAGAAATGTCATTGATCATCACTTCTTTCTTTGAATTGCAAGGAAGGTTATGGTACTTGCTGTGCTGTGCCTTCTCTTCCCATTATTTCCATCTTTTGAGATGTTCTCGAAAAGAGCACCAAAATGCTTTGATTACTAAGCCAGGTACTGTCTTTTGCCTTTAGTCGAAATTGTTTAAATAAGTCTCATTTGTCCATGTATGTCTCATCGCCTCCTTCCGTCCCAGTTCATCTAGTGATTTTCTAATAATTTTGACTACCTGAAATTTCTTCTAGTCAAATTTTCATTCCTGATTATCCTGTCCTGTTGCCATTCCACGATTCAAGAAACATTATTATATTTTTCGCGAGTTTAATACGTTATTTTATCTTTAAAATTGTCTCAAAATTCCCATGATGTTTAGAATCGAGATATTAAAGCCGTTTAATCTTAACTGGAAGAGTTAATTTGCTCTTGCTAAGCTCTTCGTACTGTAAGCATTTTCAAATTTTCAGAAGAAATTTTATAATGAATAGAAAAATTCTGTAGCCGGAAACACGGCCACTTCCGTTTTTCTAAAAGGGGAGGAAAAACTCTCAAATGTGACGAATTGAATTATGCACTAGCCGTGGTCATCGTCAGTGGGACGAACATAAATATATTTTGTTTACAATGATAGGTGGGATGGAAGGATTATGCAGAAAGTACAGGTAGCACACCTGGACTAACAGAAATTTATATTAAACTGTTTACTGGCAGCAGAACGCGGTCACCGTGGACTGGTTCAGCAAGATTTATTAATAGAAAGCTGGGCGCAAAGTGTGCTTTCAACGAAAACAGGAGTGGAATTGTCGTCTTTCTTGGGCATGTCATCTAATAGATAGTAAATAGCACTTCTTAAATGACCTCATTAATTAACATATTAGAAGAAAAGGTTTGTTTCAGAGATGTAAATGTTTTCAGAATGTTATTTAGGGTTTCAGAATATAGTGGGAAATACTTAATTGTGCAGGAAGAAAAATAAAAGAATGCAGTGCAAAGTAATGACTTTATAGTACAGTTTCTCTTTCTTTGCTATTATTCCACGATCTCTCAGGGAAAAGTTCATCTTCAAATATGGATGGCATAACTATATGGATTCAATCTATGAATTACAAATCAATCTATAAATGTTGACCTCATTTTTTGCAGTGTTTATTTAGAGAATATTGAAATACTGTGAGTAACAGTAAGAATATACATTATTATCTTGTCATGAGCAACAATTCCACTTTTACTCCATGAAATTATCGATAATTGAACATAATTTCCCCTAATTTTACATACAAAATAATTGGCACACATAACTTCCGAAGGAATGAATGAATCATCAAAGTAATAAAACGATATGCGACAAATGTTAGAGTCATTCCATCCCATCCCATCCCATCCCATCACACATCACTCACACACGAGAGGGAGTATAATAATATTTGATGGTAAGCATACAGTAGAATAAAGAATGAAGTGAATCATGTATACTTGACAAATGCATTTATAAGTTGTAGCAGTGGTGTAAATGAGACATTCTCGAGCAGACATTCTCGAACTATTCATTCATTCATTGTTTTTTTTTTTTTTTTTATTTTTTTATTTTGCAATTTAAAAAAGAAAACAAAAAGCAAAAGCAAAGGTTCTTTGAACAAGAGAAATAAAAGTAAGAAAATTAAAAAAAAAAAACATATCAAAATTGTAAATTACATTTAAAACAGAATTGTTTTTTAATAATTTTTTGACTTCCGAATTAATTTGGTTAGTTTCAAAATCAGCAAAGATTGCAATGAGATGATAATCATAAGTTGGTCGAAAAATTCGATGAAGGAGAGAAGTAGAAAAGTTAGAGGTTAAGGTTTCAGAGAAAGAACAATTTTTTAATTTTGATAACTCTGATAAAGCAGGTGATCAAGCTGATGTTGCTGAATGAGGGAGAGAGAGAGAGAGAGAGAGAGAGAGAGGGAGAGAGAGGTGATTAGTTCATATAAATGGTCACTTGTTTCACGTGTTTCTTGTTCATTTATTGGTTAAATGTGAGGATTTAAAACTTTTAGTGCTTACATTCAGTTCAGCGTGTGAGTTATTCGAGTTGTAGAGAATTTGATAAGTGATATTATCAGTTGAGATGAAAATGTGCTTTTGGAATTTTGTAATATTTTAACTTAGAAATTTCTATCTGATTTCATGATGATTAAATCTCAATTTTTTTCATTATTCTGATCTGCTAGTCGAAAAATCAATATGAGTTGATTTTGAGTATAATAAAGTTCAGTTTAAATTGTTCAGCTGTCATCAGTTAGTCTAACTTTCGAAAATTGTTTTAGAGAGAGAAAGAGGAAGATGAGGAAGTTAAATAGAGAAAATTATTTAGCTAATTTTCTTTCTGTCTTTTGTATGAAAGTTTCATTCACATTTCGGGTCAACAGGTCAATCTCGTAAATGTGGCATAGCCAGGGCAAGAAACGGTCAGTATTTGTTGCATGACCATTGGGCGCCAATTTTTCCTTTAATTTTTAAGGGTTTGTCCGCGACATTTATTACAGTCATGTGAAATGCTTTAGAATAAACTTGTATTAACCTGAATTTTTGAAATTTATTGTAATCCTTTCACACACACACAAAGAAAAACTGAAATATAGGTAGTGATTAAAGGACAAAAGAAGTTAATATGTTGAGGTGAAGTAAATATGAGAAAGAAAGATTTTGTTTACCTTTTCTAATTGTTAACCTTTGGTCGAGATTAATTTTTACGTGTTGATATCGTCAAATATTCAATCGGAAATAGTATAAAGATTGTGTTTAATGTTTTTTTTTTCCTCAATTGCTCACTTTTTCTCATTCTCTTGATTCTGCACAATATTTTCTTCCTTATATCTCCAAAAAAAGAGAAAACCAAAGATTAATTAACAATTAATAATTCTTCCATGCAACATTATTATGATAAGCAGCTAATGAGGAAGGCATATATCATCGGATGATTTATCAGCAGCTTATCTTATCACCATCCATTTCATGGACGGTCAATGATGCGCACCACAACTTTATATATGTAGGAATGATTGAATTGGAACAAGGTTATCGATTTATTTCATGCCAGCCAGCCAGTCATATTGAATCTGTCCCAAAAGCTTATTAATATTTTGACTAGAATATTATTAAATAAATGGAGATAGATAGGCTATGATTGAGATGGAAAGCATTCGATTGTTGGAAGAAAGAAGAGAAATTTTCAGTTCATTGATTGCTATCAATTTTACCTTTTTTACCTGTGCATATTGCATCCTTAATTGAATTTTCGTTAATGATAATGTACTCATTTCATTCAATTTATATGGTAGAAATTCTTAAAATTTGAACTGCAATATTTACTGCAAATTACATTTATTAGTTAGTGAAAGAGAAATGAATGGAAAATTGTTCGCTTTTTATAAAAGTTACAGCATCTTACATAAATATTTTATACAAATGAGGACACTAAGAATGTGCATTATCTTTGAGTATTATATAATATCAGTTGCACTCGTCAGTTCCAACTATTATTCCATCATTTTGGACGAGCTTGTTGTAGTTGGTCTGGGATTATTGAATTGCAAAAGTGGCTGTTGTTAAATCGGACCATGTTTGGTTTGTATACGGCTGGGTGGTGTTAGTGTTGGTGGGCGGTGATTTGATTGGCTTATCTTTGCTTCTTGTGGAATAGGCCTTATCACTTCGTCAATTATCAGTCCTGTACAATCTGGTAATTGATGATATCACCAAGGCTTTCTTTGTACCAATTTTGAATTTGAATACAGTTGCAACACCTTGATTATTTCATTTTTATGGTCGATTCTGCAGCGAGCATGTTTGCACTGTTCCGTCTTGTTATTAGTTATAATATACATAGAATTTCATAGACGTGTCGTTATTAATTGCGATACATTTGTTTAAATCGTCTATGCATAAAGAATCGTAAAAATAGTAATCTGTTAATGCGTAAAATTGTTCGTTTAATTGATAGATCTGATTAATTTGTCATAGCTATTATTACAGTATGCATGGCATTGTAAGTATGTTAGCTACTAGTAACCATTTGAAAAATCCATTACAGTTAAGTCTACTTGCAGTTGATATCTGTAACATTATCTTTCTTAATCTTAAATGCCATGTGATCTATGAGGTAATATTGTTTATTGATTTTGGCTGTATTTCGTCTGGAAATTTACTTTCATATTGTGTCACGATTTTGTGCAGTTGATGTGTAAAAAAGACATAATTCACGTTTACTCTTTTCCTTCATGTAACGCTCCCAGGATGGAGGATAATTTATTACATTTTCGGTTTATTTCAGGAGTATGTGAATTCGTGCTCTAGCACTGAAGCAATAAATAAGAATATAATCCGGAAAAACAGTAACATACCGCCTGTGCGGAAATCATTCCGAAAGATTAAAACTCAGGATACTGCTCCAACATTATCCACTAACAGCGGGAAGAATGTATGTATTATTCTGACTTTTTGAGATTTTAGTTAGAGCATCCAAATATTACTTATTTTTGAAAATTTGCATATTTCAAGATTTTTCCTTACACTATAGTATACGTAATCTTTACACCGGAGAGGAATTATTTCCACCTGCAACAGCAGTTAGATTGCTGGGTTGTCAGGAAAAAGTACAATGCGTTATAAAACAGGTAACATCACATCGCACAGAATGTTGCAGTGTTTACATTTATGTTTTTGCCAAAAATCCATCAGTTTAACTTTATGATCATGCTGCTTGTGCAAGTTACTAAGACAGTGTTGAAAGAAAAGGCGAAAAGATTTAAGAGAGCAAGGAAAGGGCAAGCTTAATTATTTTATAGTAAAATAATAGCTTTTTTATCTACATTACAAATGTTGCCGTCGAGAATTCAGTCCATTCTGATTGGGAGCTTATCTTGTCCATTTCATGATTTGTTTCAGTAGGTCGCCATCCAAAACCCAAAATAATGCAGGGTTAAAGAGCAAATTTTCTTTAATTTAGTAGTATTGCAAGTCTTGCTTTCTCTATCGAAGTTGAAGGAAAAAAGGATGGATGTAGTCCATTATACAGATTCATACAGTTTTCGTGGATGTTATTGCTAACCCTAACAATCCACAATCTTTCAATTATTGATTCACCTTCATCTTTTGAGTTATGAAATACTGAAACAATTCCATGTGTATGATTATGTGCAATTCTTTTTTTTTATTCACTATTCCCTTGATTGTGCTATGAAAGAAAGTACTGAATTAAAATGGCTGAATTGCAAAGTTGAACAATCTTATGAAAAGGTAACTTAAGAGATTATTTGCTACTTATAAGTTGCTAAGTTTAATTATCGATCCATTGTTATCAAATAAGTGTTTTTCGAGTTTTAAGGGAGGTTCAACCCTTACATTTTTGCAGAAGACATCTTGTTCATCAACCAAAGTACCAACCAGTGCTTTTTGCCGCCTGCCATCAGAATCACATACCTGGATGGCAACCACGGTACAGCATGCACCAATGACTGCTCCTTCATCTTCCAACTCCCACCATCATGCCAGTGCTGGTAGCAATGGTTCGCGTACTGGTACGCAAATATCCTCTCATCATGGAGCTCACCCAAGGTTGTACTCTATTAGTAACATGATTTTTTCGGATGAACTCATACGTATGACTGTCATCCTCGTAGTTAGTTTTAAAATTCTGGTTTATTCGTGGTCACTATCTTACAGCTCTTTTGAAGGGTAGTGGTCGAAAAACCCGATGCTGGAAATTTTCAAACCTAAAAGAACGAAACTTATTAAGATTAATGATTATTACACTAATATCTATAACATTTATAACGATTGTTCAGTTCAAGCTCTCATCACGGTACCAGTGTTGGATTTCATGGGAATCATCGTTCTTCAAATCTGAATACAACGCGTGTGCAGAGCAGGTCGCGAACCACTGATGACCCACATATTGGAAAATATAAGTTGCTCAAAACGATTGGCAAAGGAAATTTTGCCAAAGTTTGTCAATTTGTTTTCTTTTGTTTCACATGACATATGTAGGAATCGACCGATGGATTTTGCATAATGGGAATGGAATAGTTATCAGTTGTTTTATTAGAGCTGTCTAGAAGTTTCAATTGAAATCCCAGTGATAGAATTTTCTTTCAAACCAAACAGGAGGAAAACTTTTACTAGACTGAAGAAGCTTGAAAATAATTACCAAGATTTTGTAACTAGTTTGGTGCGAAAAAGTGAAATCAGAAGATCGATTATTTTCTCAGTCCTTCACTTTAGAAAACTTTTATTTAATGTAGGATAAAAAACCAAGAATTAATAAAATTTTTCTTTTCACTTTGTTTATTTTGTAGGTTAAACTAGCCAAGCACATTCCTACGGGTATTGAGGTTGCGATTAAGATAATCGACAAAACTGCTCTCAATCCAGGCAGTCTACACAAGGTTGGTTGGTTGCACATATTTCCTCGATTTCATGAAAAAAAGATGAAAATGGTTTTTTTTTTTTCCCAAATATTCCATAACTGCAGAAGAGTAATTGAAATCGATTTAATTCGTCGGAATATTTCTGTTGTTAAGGATGAGTATTCCTTTTTCAGCTGTTCCGAGAAGTAAAAATAATGAAACAATTGGATCATCCAAACATTGGTACGTTATTGACAATACATCTAGTGAACTAAACAGATCCTTTTTTCGAAATTTCATATTTATATAAGATGTTGTATAAATCTGCAGTTTTTTTGTATGAGATTTCAAAATTTTTATAAGTTGAAATTCACCTATGCTGAAGTTTAAACTAGAGGAACAATAATTGTAACTAAGTTGAGAAGTTCTAATATTTAAAAAAATACTTTAAAGATAGACATGTTACTAGCGTTTTCTTTTCTAAATGGAAAAAAATGGAGTCACTGGAGAGGAAAATGGTTTTTCTTTTGTTTTATATTGCTTGCAGTAACATAATTTAGTGAAACTTTACCAAGTGATGGAAACTGAAAATACATTATACCTTGTAATGGAATATGCGAGTGGTGGAGAGGTAGGGTTTCAATTCTTAATTGTGTTAAGCATACATGTCATATTTTCATTGACGTAAGATGTAAGCATTCATTTCTTTGTTATATCTGACATGAAAATTTCGAATTCATAATTTAGTGCTTTCTTTTATTGAATTTTTTAAATCACTTTTTGTCTTTTACTTTTTATTACATTAATTTTTAGGTATTCGATTACTTGGTAGCTCACGGTAGGATGAAAGAGAAGGAAGCAAGGGCTAAATTTCGACAAATTGTGTCCGCTGTACAATACCTACACCAAAAAAATATCATACATAGGGATTTGAAGGTGATTTTTTTTATTAGGATATCATCATGCCACAGTATGAACTAAGAAAGAAATCATTTCATTGTAACAGTAAGATAGCAAAAAATTTTGAGCATATATGCATCCATGTATATTACGGCAGTCCGTTGCAAGTCATGTTTGTCTTTCCGACATTGCCAACATATTTGTTAATAGCAATTAAGAAATTTAATTCCTATAGAAGGAAAAAATTAGAGTTTGTATGAATCTATAACTAATGCAGTCGCTTCTCACATCACATTTGTTGATATGTGCCGCAATGGGCACAGTTGTAATTTTTACAAACCATCATATTTAATTATGCCATAAAATTAAAGTATTGATGACATTGTTTCTGTAAACTGATTGATTCTTCATGATCGCAGAAAAAAAAAGGCGTTTTAGGCGGAAAATTTGCTACTCGATTCTGATATGAATATCAAAATAGCTGATTTTGGATTCAGCAATCAGTTTGTAATAGGTAATTTTTCTTAGTTGTTCCCTTTATATATCTAATCTATCCTGTTTTTCATTCGTTTGTTTCGGTTTTAAGTTTTTGCCATTCTGATACATTGTGTGTTATCAACGATGTTACTACAAAATTACAGAGATATTTTAATTAGAATACACCTACTTAATCATTTAAAATCTCTTATTTCTTCCAAATATGTAATATCATCTGTCTTTCTCAGAGGGGCAACTTTGTGATCATGCCTTTTTTCTGTCAGTACCCACTTTCTACACTTCTGTGAATGTTATCATTCCTAGACGAAAAATGTTTTGTGTTGTATTAATAGATATTAAATTTTTTCAGGTAATAAATTGGATACATTCTGTGGTAGTCCGCCTTACGCAGCTCCGGAACTGTTTCAGGGAAAGAAATATGATGGACCAGAAGTGGATGTTTGGAGTTTAGGAGTTATTTTATACACTCTTGTCTCTGGTAGTCTACCTTTTGATGGGCAAAATTTGAAGGTGCTTTTTTTGTTGCGCAGTTTCTATTTGCGAAGAATGCTGTTTTGGAAAAATAGACGTATTGCATTTTCAACCTCAAATTTTTTAGGAATTAAGAGAAAGGGTGCTGAGAGGAAAATATCGAATTCCATTTTACATGTCAACCGACTGTGAAAATCTTCTTAAGAAGTTCCTTGTACTAAATCCAGCTCGTAGAGGAACATTGGAAGCAATCATGAAAGATAGGTCGGCGTGAGTCATTTCCTATTTTTTGATATTCTTGTTAAAATTTTTTAATTAATTGATCGTTGACTTTCTATAGAGTCATAGTGTTTCTTTTCGACATATAAAATTTTTGTGTTTCATTGAGTCAGAAAAAGAAGTGGAATTATGCCTACCATTTTTTTTAAACTTGTTTTAGGTGGATGAATATAGGTTATGAAGATGACGAATTGAAACCATATATCGAACCACCGAAGGACGTTAAAGATGAAAATCGAATAGCCATTATCCAGCAAATGGGTTACAGTCGTAATGCAATAATGGTATCACTCGACAAAGGTAGTTTCGATGATCTTCATGCCATATACATTTTGCTGGGAGAAAAAAAACGCGAGGTAAACTGTTTGAATCGTTCAAGGCATTGATCTGATCAGCTGTAAAAGAAAGTGGAAAATAGGTGATCGATCTTAGCATAGTTATGTTCACAAGGCCATCTCACGATTAATTTTTATTAAGCTGACAAAGCTTATTCAGGCTCAATTGGACATCATTATAAGTGTTTTCTAATTTGTCCAAATAATCCGAAATTAAGACTGGAAAGCAGCTGATGATCCTTGGAACCAAAAGTGGTATCAATCTTTGAAAGTTAATGAAATGTCATTTCATATCTTCGAATTTTTCAGCTTGACGGAGAAGCTGTCCTAAATGCTCAATTGAATCCCGCATCAGCACAAAGTGTTGCTCATGGAATAACGCAAGGTCAAAGTCCGCATACTCAACCACCCGCTTCTACTGGTTTTGCTATGGTAAATTTCCGATTTGAAAAATTCTGATTTATTAAAAATGAACTGGAGAAGATATCAAGCTTATTGATGTCAGAATCAAAGTTCCGAAAAACACAAGAATCATTCGTAAAATTTGTTTGAACAGCAGATTTTTTTTAGACTCAGAAATTTGTGCCTCGTTCAACATCAGCCCAAGTACCATCAATAAAGACACGGCGTGGATCACAGGAGCAAACAATTACACCAGCTGCTCAACTTCCAACAACACTTTTACCGTCGGAAATTCATGTCACAACATCACCTGGAACACAACGAGTCATATCTGGTGTAGCACCGGTTACAATGCGACATGTTGTTGGTCCACCAGGTGGTCGGCAAGCGCTTAGTATGCAACCAGGTCATATAAGTATGTTATCTTATATTGCAAGATTTTATGCAAGATCTCAAGAATGTTTTTATCATTGTATCTTGACTAGAATTGTACGTTCAGTTATTTTCGTGAATTTGATAATTGATTTCAGTGCCCAACTATCCTTCAAATGTAATGCAAGCCGTCGGAAGTGGTGTACAAGCTGCTGCTGTTTCTGGGTTTAGGAAGGCTTCCGTTCCGGCGCGAACACCGCTATCTAATTTAGGGGCGAGAGGAATCTTGCCAACGGGACCACGATTTGTGTATCCGACAATTGAGTGAGTTTCTCGCACTAAAGAAAGTATTTTTCGATCACTTTTTTTTTGACCGACTAATCGTGAAGATTCAAGGATAGAAAGCTTTCTCATACATTTCCAGGAACACAAAAAAATTTGATAAAATTATCTGAATTAAAGTATAGGTGATGTATGTCACTTGTAATTTGATGTTTTGCAGTACGAAAGGTTTACCTAAGAGTATTACTGGATCCTCGTCTGCTCGTGGTACTTCGAGTTCGCCATTTTCTTCAAATTCTGCGCAGCAGAAGATCACATCGCTACAGGTATTTTGGTTGCTGAATCTTTTCGATTTTTTACTTTATTTTCTCTACATTAACAAATTATTTTCATATAGTCCAAAACTCGTGAATTCATAAAGTCTTTGATTCTAGAAAAGCGGCTCTATTTCGGCAACGCCAAATGAGCCGTCGATTAAGGAGGATGACAATGAAAACGGTGAACTGTTCGCTACTAATGGCGATAACGGGAAAGCTGAACTAGCAGTTACAGCACATGCAACTACTGATAAAGGTGTCGATACTGGTCGTTACGCTGGTAGTGATGCCGATGATGGAGATTCTACCGCGATATCACGGCAGCAGTCACCTGCATTAACACTTGGTCCAACAATAGAGCAGCCGGAAAAAAAAGAGGAAAAGTATGTGAATGATTTGTTCAAAGTTTTGTTGGGGGAATTGCCGAATTGTTTTGGTGTATTTTGAGAATATTCCAAATATAAGTTATGGCGATTTTGATTCTGGAATACTCCAGAATCACTTATTCAAAGACTTGCTATATGCTTGTGAATAGTGTATGATTTTCTTGTTGAAATAATTGTGTGTTTTCCAAGAACTGTTGTCTTTCATTTTCATGTGTTATCATAATGATTTTTTTTCTCACATATTTTTGATGACAAACTGTGACATTCAACCATCTCCACGATCCTTAGTCGAAATTATACGTATTTCCGAAATCTTTATCTTACAGATATGCATTGTAGAGCTACAGTTAGATTGAATTTTCGGAAATGAAGAATATATTCTTACATCAAAATTCCTTCGGTTTAGAATTGGTTCTAGAACCTTTGTGGAGTATTAGATACCATATTTCTTGAAGCGTCCCAAATATACTTTGATAAATTATTCTTGAATTTAATCTAGTTATGCATTGATACTTTTCTCTTTTTTGTTATATTTACGGCAATAATATGTGGCGTTTAATATTTTTTCTTATAAATATAATTTTTTTACTTGTCTTTTATTTTGAACTCCAACTAATAAATCATTGTTTGGGATTGAAAGACGATTGAAAGCATAGCTTGATTACCATTAGGATTTTATGGGTCTTTGTGAATTTGGGCTTGGATTGCTTAAATATATTCCATATTCGTGGATATTTTCAAAGATTTTTTTAGGAATTAGAGAAAACATCCTTATTTCAAGTGATCGAAAGGGAATAATTTATGTAGATCTGAACTGTCTTCCAGAAACATTGTTGGCAATGCTGATTTATTAGTTCGTGTTAAATACAATAATTTCGACTGGTTGATTTCTTTACCAAAAATTAGATGGTTTCCTAGTGAGCTGTATGTAATTTACTAACTTTCGTTAAAATTTTCTTTGCTTGTAAAACAAAATAAGTGCATTATTTCAAATTGGATTTTTAGAAATACCTGGTTTTGTGCTATGTTATTGTTTGGATGATAATATCTCTTTTTACAAAACTTTCGCCTACTTTTGTTTAATTTCTAGATTCCAATGTTTAGCTTTTTCAGGCTTCATCAAAGCGCATCTGCACAAGCAGTTATCAAAAATTTAGCTATTAACGAAACATCACCATCTGCGTTGTTGCCACATTCACAGAATAATAGCCCAAAGTTGACCAAATCTGCAACTGGCACTGCTCTGAATCCTGTTGCGGTGACAGCAGTATGTTTCTTCATTTAAGTGAAATTTATGTAATACTAATTTTTTAAAATATATGTGACAACAGAATTAGTGGAAGATTTCAGGTTTGTTCAAGGTGTATGAGTGTTCGTAATTTTTTTTTTTTTTTTTTTTAAACTTTTGCGATCATTAAGAATATCAAATCACAACACGTAGAATTCAACCACTACGACTTGATGATGGTACTGATAATGAAACACTGATTGATCTTTCTATCACTTTAATTAACAAAATTTTTATTTTAGCCTTCCTTAGACGCACAAACTATACCATCAGCCGCAGTGTTAAGTACACATGGTACAGCAATACAAAATGCTGCCTTTCCTAGACATACTCGTAACAGACAAACTTTTCATGGGAAAACGGAGCACAACAAGGTTTCTTTTTATTTCATTATGAACTTCATATAACACATGACTGATGTATACAAACGAGTTATAAGTTATTTTATTTCGGAGGCTAATCCGGATCAGTGAATGGAATGATTTCTAAGGGATGAAATTACGTATCTTTAAACAAACTTAGTGTTCCTTTCTTTACTTTTCAATTATAGGGAAGTTTGGATGATGATGTTGAAACGGAGGTAGTACATGGTGCTAATACAGCAGGCAACGGTGGTCCACGTGGATCATTCCTTTCCAAACTATCCAAGCTTACTCGCCGGTTAGTAGTTCCATTTCAGCCAGATGCTGATCTAAATTTTGTTTAAAACATGAGCACTTCCTATGTAAACGATTTCTGAAGGGGTTTTATCATCATATCTGCAGCTAATCCCAGCTTGTATTACTTACTTTACTAATTGGTTCTTTTAATTTATATGAGATAAAGAGCTTTCACATATTCACATATGGAGCAAAATGCTTATTTTGCTTGCAGGTGTTATGCTTTTACTAACCAAAATTTCCTAGTGATGAAGTTTGAAAATTTTTTGTTAGGGAATGAAAAAGCTTCATACAATTTATATTAAGCTAATTTAGTTTAATATAAGTGCAGGACTTGCTTGAAATGTAATTGGGAAAGAAGAATTTACTATCCAGCCCTGCATTATGGAAAGGTGCTTTTTGAATGGTCTACAGAATGAGTCATTTTACTCTAGTTACACTCAAAATGGTTTTGCTTTTTTAGTGATGCCACTTGTTTACTACTATGGATTCACTTGTAATTAACCTTCAAAGAGAAAGTTGATGCTGAAGAATATATTATCGATTGATTCTTTTAAGAAGACGATCGATCGATATATCTCATTCTTCAGCATTACTGAGATGTTTGTTTAAAGTTTTATGCTGTGGCAGTATTATATTCTCATCTTTTTTATCAGCTCATTTTTTCTTAAGAATCATTTACAACATTTTGGTTTATTTCATTTAATTTGTACGAGTATGCGGGTTATGGTGATGGTTCCTTCACTTCTCCATCGTTTGCTCACAATTATGAATTTTCACCGATGTATTGCTATTTTGCACAAGACTAGACTATTTCCTCCTCGCTCACATGTCGGCACAGGAATAATAATTCAACTGCTCAGCTATTAGATAAGTAATTATTTTGGATGAATTCTTCCTTCCGGAAAAGCAACGGTTTTGTGTTTTATCGAATAATTTTGTTAATGCCACTTTGGCCATTCACTAAGACTTTATCTTATGCTTTGAACTGTTTAATTCACTTCATCTTAATATCTTCGAAAGGATCTGTTGATGCTAAACATTCTGAAGAAATGAACTTATATTCAACTATCATATTTTATGTCGCAGAATAACACGTTTGGTAATCTTGCTTGCATCCATTGTTTATATAGTGCGCAGCACCACATTATCGAAAGTCATCTGTTATAATTTTTTTCTGATCTCCAAGACCCGAGAATTTCGCATTCCTTTTCGCTTACACTGGAATATTTTGGAAAGTATTTCCTTGACATTCAGATTGTATCTGAAAGTCACTGTCACTCTAATTGCAGTTTTCATCTTACTTTTTTCAAATCTAACTTTTTCTCTAAGAGGACCATTCGAGTGTTTGATTATATATACACATATTTCACTATTTCGCACATCTTTGATTAGATCAGTTTTCTATGAAATAGCTAATTATTTGCACTTCGGTAATGCTTTATTTTGCTAATTTCAAAGCACGGTGTTCAGGTTCATTGTCCTTAGCGAGTATTCCAAATCACAGTTTACTAAAATCTTTTTTTCAAACTGAAGTGTACTTGATTTTAATTAACAGAGAAAAGTTTATAATGTGCGCTTCTTTCTTTTCCATTTTTTGTATCTTTATTTGCGGTGTAAGCATTTATTTATAATTCTGCATGAGTTTTAAATTCTTTTCATGAAAAATTAGTGCCTAACATCTTCAAAATGATTTTTCAAGTGATTGGATCTGAAAGCAAAAATTTTAAAGCGAATGATGCGAAGCAAGCAGTGAAAATTTTTGAGGATTAATTTCGGCAAGTGCCCTATTATTCCACTACTCTTTGTTTTTTGTAATGGTTCATCTGCTGAGCAGAAATATCATTATCTTCTATCATCATTGTCATCAAAATTATCCTTATCAGCAATATATCCACGTTATATCCGCATTTACTTTGCAAAACAACTTACTGAACTAAACTAAACTAAACTTGTCGAACTTAACGAAAACGAATTAAACAACTTTACCTATTATCCCTACTGTATTGTCACAAATTCGTTGCTTTTCCGGTCGTGGTATTTCAATAAACAAACAGCTTTACTCTTGCTCCTGTCACCAATAGTCATGAAGTAGGCAATCCAACGAAATTTATTTACTGGTAGTAATGTTAACAGCAGTCAGCAGCAGATTACCCATCATCAACAGCCACAATGGTTATAGTGAAGCTAATAACTTGCAAGCTTTAAATATAAGGGCTTCATTTCCGTTAGGCCGCTTTTCATGCATAATGGTAGCAGTTACGGTATGATATCGCTGAGCTCTGAGTAAGTGCTACCACTAACATTAGTTATTCGTATCAAGCCTTCCCGTGGTTTACTTTACTGCTCAAATTCCCTGACTGGTAATTGATGCTAGTTACCAATATTTCCTACTCCTCCGGTACATTAAAGCAGCGGATTACCCAATAAATGCTTCCGCAGCTCTCTTATCCCGAAATCTTGTAACCATATTTTTGCCGAACAATGTGAGTGATACGATACGATCGTCCAGTGATTCCATCCAATCGTTTAGCCCATCGATGGCATCGTCAAACAGTGGTGCCGTTACTGGAGGAAACCATCATCATAGCTCGAGAGCGGGTGATGCATGCAGTGTCCAGCTACCATCAACGTACTATGTCACTGGTACTTTTGGTAGCGGACCATCAACCTGTGCCTCATCTCTATATCAGTCATCGCGCAGGACACCAATCGTGGGGATTGCTGAAGGATCTGCTCTCACTACGACATCACCGCCAACACCAATTAACACAGGTGAAACGGTCAAACATAGTGTGAGAAGTGGAACCATTGGGCCGACTACCGGTATTGCTGGATTTAAACGATTAAACACTAGTCAGCAGCATCATGGTCAATTTGTCATGACACCAAATGCAGCACTGGGTGTTGGGTGTGATATATCAAATGGTGATGAAGTGAAGCCACGGTCGCTGCGATTCACATGGAGTATGAAAACTACTAGCTCTTTAGCACCAGAAGAAATGATGAAGTAAGTCTTTGAAGTTAGATTTCAATTCAGTATAATTTATGCGATAGATTATGCCTTTTTGTTTCATGACAGTACTTTGATAGGCTATTGGATTTCTATAAAAAGATTCTCTTATATAACAAATATATGAGTGCGAGAATTAAATTCATCGTTAAATTTTTTTTTTTTTGTTTTTTGTTTTAGAGAAATTCGAAAAGTTCTGGACCAAAACAACTGTGATTATGAGCAGCGTGAAAGATATTTATTATTGTGCGTACATGGTGATCCCAATACCGACTCGCTGGTACAGTGGGAAATGGAAGTAAGCTATATTTCTTGATAGGATATGCGAACTTCTAACATTCATGTATCATTGAATTTTTCACAAGTGTACAGTTACTGAAAACTTTATAATAATTGAAGTAAATGTCTTTTTTGTATATCTAACACTTTGAGAATTTTCTTAAAAATTCGAGAGGTAGTAAATGTTTTACTTGTTGACCAACAATTTATGTCTTTCTTTAAGGTTTGCAAATTGCCAAGGCTGAGTCTAAATGGCGTTCGATTTAAACGAATATCGGGGACATCAATTGGTTTTAAGAATATTGCATCGAAAATAGCACAAGAGTTAAATTTGTGATGGGACAGTGAAGTGGCAAATACGTTGTTTTGATTAAGATTTTTAAATTTGTTATTTTTGGGCAAAGATATCCCTTAACGACAAAATTCTGATTGAAATTTGTAAATTATCTATACAAAGAGTACTTAAAAGTACTTACTGTCCTACACTACTACCTTCCAACGAATTTTCCAGCCTTTTTTGGTCTGATGGTTTAGTTAACATAATGAAGAACGAAAATGTGGTAGAATTTTGTCTTCCTTAAATTTGTAATTTCTTTTATTCGCAAAAATAATTGTCCTCAATCTGGGTTTTATCTCTTTCTTTTTTGTGTCACATTCATTACATTATTTTTTGAATTTAAGTCTTTAAAATCTGTGACGCTATTGTAATCCAGTAGAATCAATTTGGTGTGAGTTATAGGATTTGGATTTCGGAAGACAAACTTGTTTCTTTGGAAAAAATCAGGCAAGCATAATGTAACTAAAAAAAAAGAGAAAAAAAAAACTTAAGAAACTAAGAAATCTGTATGGGTTGATGATATAGTAATTGCTGGTCCTCGACTATTTTTGCCAAATTAATCCTGTTTCGGTTGAGGACGGTTATTTTTAGTGGGAAACTCTGATTGTTGGAATCATCCGGCCATCGATTCACATGGTACCTCGTTAGTGATCCAAATTCTTTCATTTTGTGTACGGTTTAATCATTTTTAGGCAGTGACATATTTAATTTGTTCTGCTTTCAACTACCATATTGTACTGTGTAGTAATAAGTATACTAGTATTAGTAGTAGTAGTAGTAATAGTAGTATGTGTCTTCATTGATGGCAATGCATTTTTCATATATGATGAAAAGTTTGAATTTCTTAGTCCTTTAAAATGCATATGTCAAGAATATTTGCACGACGCTTGGTTTTTAGTCTATTTTGGTGGTTGCTCTTTTTCTTTGAATTCGAAACTTAGTTTTAACTGCTTCACATCAGAAATTGAGTAGTCCAAAATCTAGTTACAAAAACAATGTATTATTTATATTTTTGTAAGTTGCTTGGTGTGGCTTTTTGCATAGAGGCCATTTTCAGCGAGTATCAGAAACTATCGCATCTATTCCTATGCGCTGGAAAAAAAAGCCAATTGCAAATGTTGATGTTTTCTGAACACGTTGTGTAAAGGAATCAGTTGTGTTTCAAATTCGCTGCATCTCTACTAAAAAATGTAATGTGATTTACTCCTCCTTATTCTTTCATCTTGTCATCTTTTGTCTTTTTTCAATTTTCTCGACGCTGTTTTATACATTAAATGTTCAGTGTTCTTATTAATTTACCAGCCATCTCATTGGTCATGGCTTTTCATCTGCACATCAACTTTCTGAATTTTGCATCTTCTAAATCTAAGAAAAAAATTCATTTATAGAACATTTTTTATATTGTATGTTTAACAAACTGAAAATGGAAGTTCTCTCCGGATTAATTGTTTTATTTATTGTGATTCAGTCTTTTTTGTAGTGAAGAAAAAGATTTCTTATTGACCTGGTCGTTTCCTTTTTTTCAAGTTTAAAAAGTTCATAGGGTCTGGATTTGATAGTCTGCAAATTCAGTATCCTACTTTTCTTTCCATTTTTATTCCATTGACCTGACATTTTTAGAATTATTTATATGTGCTATTTATAATTTCGAAAAAGCTTTGATGAAGCATTTGCCTACTGATAAAGTTGTATAAGTTACTAGAAAGTTCCAGTAAACGGGATTGGGAAAGAAACCGTCAGCCTGTTTCAACAGCTAAGAATGCAAGGAAAGCACTGGTTTACATCATCTCTGTTCTGTGCTTTTGCTCCATGTGAATTTCATCTCCTCTTCTGTGATTTCTTTTGGGGTGCAACATCGTCCTCGTACGGTACAGTATCTTTCGACATCACCGATCGCTTTACCTTCTTCTAATTAACTCAGGTTCCTTATGAACCATCACCTGTTTACTTAGAAACCTTTTACTAACATAACATAGCAAAATTTTGCCCCCATGTCCAATATGGACCCAAGGTTAGAAGCTCTCAAAGTAGTTGCTTATCAAAACAAATTATTACGATGAAATTTTCCTGATCTTCGATCTTCTCTAATGTCAAATTATACCTGCTTTTTTTTTTATTAAAATAAAGGATACAGTTTTCGTTTCATCGCAAGTAAAATGCAGTGTGAGAAGATTACAGCACTGGTCTATATGAGCCTATCTGTCATATCCAAATTCAAAGAGTTGTATTCTTTACTTTTAAACATAGATTTCTTGTAATATGAAGGTATTGACCAACCACAAAATAATTAACTAATACCAACTTCTTAACCTCATTCTCTCCTTTCCTTTTCCTTCCTGAAAGGTCACTTAACCTGCTCTCATATAAATTACATTTATAAATACTCTAACTGCAGTTTTGCAGTATTTATAAAGTTCCCAGTACCTAAAATAATTGAATTATAGCCATGCTTACCATTATTGCCTCATCGCATCAATAACGTAAGTTTCGCTGAGATGTGATAAAGTGACAGTTGCGCGATTATCATCAGAATATATAGCAGTGCAGTCATTTCACAAGATAAAATCTCAGAAATCTACCTGCGCTTCTTTCAGTTCCAATCCCACTTACTTTATTGACAAGTGCGCAATATGTGATCAAACTATAACACTGCACTTTCTAAGTTGTATTTTGCTCCTTCCCACCTATATGTTAAGATAAACACGTGTCTGCTGAAAAGCTTTGAGGAATATAAGTAAGAGTATGTGAATACTACTGAAATATCCGATACCAACTCGATTATTTACTTATTTGCAAATACAAATTTGATTGCTGGATGTCGAGCATCGATATTAATGGTGGTAAAAATGATAACTGATGATTACGCGATAACATTGTAACATTAATGAAATTTAAAACTTCAGATTTGGTTTCTTTTTCTCTTCAACACATATCTTTCAAATTATATGTCATTATGGGGATCAAAGTAGAGGGAAAATAAGTGGTTTTGCGTAAATGCATACAAATGTTATATATAGACTACCTTAAATTGTGATTGTATTTTTGTGAGAATCATTTAAACGCTGTAATTTTGTTATAAAAATATACAAAAACTAATAAATGAACTAATTCAGTGGATTATTATTATTATTATTATTATTATTATGATGATGATGATGATGATGCAAATTATTTCTGATGTTGCTTTTTCCTATCTAAAGCATTTCCACTTCGGAATACTTTGAAAACTATCTTAAGGAATTTTTTGAAACAATTACATATAATAAGCGACGTAGTGATATACAGTAATGATAATGATAACATTTGATAAGAGTGGTGCTGAACTGAAATTTAATCCACGTATAGAAGATATAATGGATAAATTATCTATACAACTAGACAGACACACTGCACAAGCAATAAATTGGTATAGAAATTGAAATTTGAAATTAAAGGAACGAGTAAAATTGTCGTTCAGAGTATCGAAATAACATTTGAAAAGAATAATTATAAGCTAAAGTTGATAGAACATTTTTCAACTTGTAAGAGAATTGATTCAGAAAATACACAACGAAGGAAAGCTTAATTCAGCTTAATTGACGATTGCAAATTCTCAACGAAAAAAAGACCAAAGTAAGATAAAAGTTTTTTACGTTGTCAAAATTTATGAGTTCAGTGATTAGTGAACCAAATTGTTGCTCAATTTCTTTATTTTTTTTCTTTTTGAATGGTGTTCACTATTATTTTGGAAAAGAGAAAGGAAATTTAAGAATTGAATTTAAGAAATTTCACTTAAATAATTCACAGTAAGAAGAAAACACGTTTAATACATATAAATTCTTTGCTAAAATCATATTTTTCTGAATCATTGTAGATGCAAAATAAAGCAAAGTAAAGAAACAAAGAGAACTAATGGTACTTCTGATAAGAGCAATAGCAATAGCAATAGTAGCAGTAGTAGTGGTAGTAGTGGTAGGAGCACTAGGGGTAATAATAGTACTAGGACATTTTCACGTTAGCCTCTTGGCTTGGCTGAGTGCTTTTCTGCTTGTACGTCAAAAACCCATTCGCCGTTGAAATGATCAACACGTCGTTTGATCTGTAAAAAGACGATTCCCACTAGGCTAAATGAGTTTTAACTTTAATTTAAGCAAAAGAAAAACAGCAGACTGAAATTGACAGTAAAAAAATGATAAATGATATTGATAACAGTGCATTTTCTACTTTACATTACAAGCCATACCTGCATTTTTTTTTCTTATTAAACAACTAGCAAGAAATGCTGCAAGCAGTTTGTGCTGATATGTTATTATCATGAGAGTTCAGTAATTTAAATTTACGGTAATTAGATATCAAAATTAAAGCACTCCGTTTAAATGACTTAGGGGACTATTTAAAAATATTTAGAATTAAGTGATAAATTTGTTAAAGAAAGAGCAAACCAACCTGCTCCAATCCAAGTTCAATTTTTGATAATTCTCTTATCTCATATTTTTTAATTTTACCCGTTACTGTTAGCGGAAATTCATTTTCTTTTTTGAATAAGATATATCGTGGAATTTTGAAGTGTGCAATCTGTAAAAAGAAATTGCGGGTTAAATTAGGAAAATAAATGGAATAATTCATTTGATAAAGATATTTTTTTTTTTTTTTGAATAATTACTTGTTACAAGTACTTTCACAAATTACGATCATAATTCGAATCAGTATCTCAGAAACAGTGAGCAACTATCAGCAGCACATATCAATATCATATCATATTTCTCACTCGTCCTTTGCAAAAATCCCGGATATCCTCCTCCGTAATATCACCCGCACTATCACGTAACCGTATCCATGCACATACTACTTCACCGTACCGTTCATCCGGCACGCCGACAACCTAAAATCAAAGTGAATAGGCATCATGTGCAGATGGAATTATCCGGCTATCATCATTTTCAGCAACTCTAATGAAACAGATCAAAGTTTGCTTTATATTCAAAACAAATTTAGTTTCCAAAACTTTATATCATTTATTTATATTAGATTGAATAGCAGATTACAAAATGATTTCAATTCTATTTTAGTAATTCAAATAATTGAGGCCTTTCAATCTATAATCGTAACTTAGTCAAATCCTTCTTAAATACCTGTACGTCTTCAATTTTTGGATGTCGGAACAAATACTGCTCAATTTCCAGTGGATAAATATTTTCACCACCACGTACAATCATATCTTTTTTTCTGCCAACAATACTCAACGACCCATTCTCATGAATTACACCAATATCACTATAAAACAGAATCTCAACTTCACAATAAATTGTTTACTTATACTAATAAATTGGCTAACGATTGCAGTAGCGATTTTAACAAATGAACAGATTAATATTTTAATCATTTAAATAATCGAACAAGAGCTTATAACTGACCCAGTATGGTACCATCTGTCAGCTGTAATTTCTTCCTTAGTCTGACGTTCATTATTCCAATAGTATTTCATCACGGAATAACCTCGGACGAGTACTTCACCACGTTCACCACGTGGTAAAATTATTCCTTCACTGTCAACTACAGCCGACTGAGAAATACATATCAAAATTTTTCATAAGTAAGAAATAATAAGTGAAAAATACTAGTACGATACTAGTATGAATAAAATATACTTTTTTAAAAAAAATGTTGTTGAAATAGAAATTAGGACAAGAAAAGAATCATAGGTATACTTCAAGGTGATCCATAATATAGCCAACAGATTTGATACGCTCTTCCGGTTGTTCGTCTCTAAGTGACATAAAAGATACTGGACTGGTTTCTGTTGTACCATAACATACCTGAAAATTTCAAAAATTTGATTAAAACAAAAAATTGGAGAAACTATTAGAACAAGTTTAAAAATAAAAAATTAAATTACACAATTACCTGTAAATCACGCATACCCAATTCACTCACAAGTCTTTGGCATAAAGCTATAGGACATGGTGCTCCGGCCACAAAACCTGAAATGATAAAATGATATGATGGGGAAATAGCTACATCACATAAATACCTGATAGATTTTATTACCATCGATTAGTTCATTCTTAATAAATGCTAACATTTCTTCGTTGCTATTTTCAGTCTAGTGCTTTTATTATCATTTATAATGATAACTGCAGGATATCAACATTACATATATGATATGGTTAATTGTTGAAGTGAAACTTAGCATATTTAAGTCTTTTTGTTATCATTTATGATGATGATAACACATCAAATTTCTGTAGGAAAATTGCGATCGGATAAGAATGAAGTTAACCAATTTTTTATATTTTGCTTCTTTCCTGTTCGCAATCACATCTGATAATGATAAGCACAGATTTAGATAAGTAAGAAAATTATCACAACCCTACCTGACGTAATCGATGTGCAATCGTACTGCTTGTACTGAGGATGGTTCAGCATATCAATGTACATTGTTGGTGTGCCATAAACTGCTGTGCACCTTTAATTCACATAAAAACATAAAGACAAAGTCAGCGATTTTACAAGAAATGAAAATCATTCGCTCATACACAAAGTTATTTCTGATTATAGTTGGAAGACATAGCAATCGGTTGTTGATAATGATAACTGATAAGCTAATCAGTATGCAATGCAGTATTCTGATGGAAAATATGTGTATACCTAATATTAAAAAATTTAATTCAAAGGGAAAGAATAATTAAACATCGCATTCGTTTATACGATAAAGATTTAAATTTGAAATTTATATAGCAGAAAGGTCAGAAGTGTAAAAATTGAAACAAAGATCAATGAAATAGTTTTATTTCTCTTTTTGAACTTTATGAACAAAAGATAAATGAAAACTAACTAACCTTTCTTCGTGTATAGCTTGAAGAGCAGCTAAAGCATCGAATGATGGCGCTGGGAAGACACAAGTTTGCAGGTGTACACATGCGCTTAAACTGCCCATAACACAACCAAAGCAATGATACAATGGATTTGGAATACAAATTATTGTACGCTGAAAATAGTATTCGAGGTGAATAAATATATAAAAGTGTAAAGAAGAAAATTTCAACAATTCATTTTATCAGGTAATTTTCTCCTTTGAATTTGAAAAAAATGTGAAGAACAAACTTCAATAATAGTAATTTAAACGAAATCAGTAATGCATTATCGATATTCCATTACATTTTTTTGAGAGAGAAAAAAGAAAACAATAATATCACATCGTCTCACTTTTTCATTATAACCAGCACGTCGTCCAACGAAATATGCGTTATTAACAACATTATGGTGAGTTAAGGTAGCTCCTTTTGGTTGTCCGGTAGTACCCTAAAGTTCTAGCATTAACTTATAATAGCTTAGTAATCAAGAAAACAGAATTGATAATCAAATTTTGACAATTAATTTCTGGTACTACTGATTGACTTATTTATACCAATTTTCACATATTTATATCTGATCAAAATGGGTCGCTTTTTTAGCAGATATTTTGGCTGCTATATTCTTCTTATCTTCAATATTTATTTTTGATTGTTTCATAAACAGTAATGCCAAGAAGTACTTTAATGAATAAATAACATTTTAGAACTAATAAGTTATAGAATTCATTTGTTTATTTTTTGTGTTTTATTACTGAACAATTAATTTATTTCATGCAGTTTTTTTTTTTTTCTTTTTTTTAATTGAAAATTGTTTCTTTTTTGATATAACATAACGAGAAAATCTACAGATAATGCTCTCAGAATGTTAATAAAATAATTACATCAAAAAAAAAAAAAAAAAATGAAATAAATAAAGAAGATAGAAAGGGAAAACCTAGAATAAGAATAAGAAAGTAAAACAAAGCAATCATTAAGCGAAAATTAATTCACAATTCGTACTTTTTGCACAACAATGCAAATTTTTACTTTTTATACATTTAAATATTTACTTTTTTTTTTTGTAATTACTATTAAAAATATTTTTTGTTCAGAGTCAGTAAGAAAATGAACTAAAATCTGAGTTAAAATAAATTAAATTCGTATCCGGCATCCAGCATTTTTCTGTAAAATGAAAGGAAATACTTACTGATGACGGATAAGTGAAATTGCTTCTAAGAATATTCATTTCACTTTATTGACATTTTATAAATTCTATCTGATTTCATTACTTTCTGGTTCCTTTTTCTTCTGCATAGTGGATAAAGCTAAGTGTAAGCTAATCTAATCAGACTTAGTGCATTACCTAAACATTTATACAGAAGTTCAAAGGTCAGAATATTAGTGTTTGTCATATGCAAACAAAAATGCCTACACTGGTATACTGTATATTAACTGGATCATCCGGTTGTATCTGTCGTTCAATATCGGCTAATTTTAATCGATCTTCTTCTGTACCCATTTTTATCACATCCGAATATCTCCAAGCTCCTCTACAATTGGAATATTGTCAATTATTTAAATATTAGTTATATGATCTTGGTCAATATATTTACCGAATTATTCAGTAACTTTCTGAAGTAAGCACTCACTAATTAAATGTGATAATTAAACTTTAGATCTTGCTCTTATTTACATTTATACACATCTGAAATGTCAAAAAGATTAGAGATAGTTTATTTCGATATAAACTGCTCAGGAAAACTACTAATTCGAAATCATTCGTACCTGTATGATTTGTTATCATCATTTCGATCAATGATGATCAGATGACGAAATTTAGGAAAGTAATCCGCTGATACATCACCTTTACCTTCCGCTTTAACGGCAAGATCCGGGATAACATCCACCATCGATAAGTAGTAATTTGATTTCTTGAAACTTGCAGGTGAGATTAGTGCTTTAATGCCTACCTTACCAAGCGCAAATTTCAACTCTTCCGACTGATATGATGGGTTTATGTTTACCTAAAATTTTAGAAAACTATGCATTCTTATATAATGGAGGAAATTTACCATTTCATCTTTAGGAATTACAAAAAAAATTTTCTTTTTAAATAGTTGAAGTTATGACGAGAATTTCTAGTAGTTCATGTGTTCCAGTAAATAATCGATGTTTTTTTCTTTCAATTACATTTCACTGATTTAATTTTATGTAGCATTATCAAACTTATTGAATGTAATCTTTCCATTTGATAGAATTACCAAAATCATGCCAGCAAGGGCAGTGGCAAATTGGCAAACAATCCATTCGTACAAGTTTGGACCCCACATTCCGACACGATCACCGCGGTTCAAACCCAAATGCAGCAAACCGGTGGCCAATTTTTCACACTGCGTAAGAAATCATTTGGATTAATTCAATTTCCTTGCAAATAAAATGAACAAGAATGAATTGAAGATTGCATTAATTTGAAGATAAACTTTTTTAAATTCTTCGAAAAAAGTTACACTTAAGAAAATAGAAAGGAGGAAAATGAGAATATACATCGTGGAGAAGTTGCTGATAGGTTTTACGTATACCATCACGCTTGAAGATGACAAATTCGCGATCCGGCACCTAAAATGAGTAGGTGAATTCACAGAGGGATCCTTGCTAACAATTAGGCAGCAACTGAAATTAGATAAAAAGTAGAAGTAAAGGTAGACACAGACCTGATCGACGGCCATCCGGAGACGATCGCCAATTGTGTCGAAGAGCAGCGGAATGCTGGACACTCCGTGGACGTAGCTCTTCCGTATGGCTTGTGCCGCCGCATTCTCGGACAGCACACTCGCGTCCCCGTCGAGCGGTGTTTCTGGAAAAGGAAATTGAGAAAGAATTCATATCGCAGCAGAAATATACAGATGCAAAAAAAGTTTGATTCGCTAATTAAAAAAAGGAAATTAATTACATGGATAGCAATTAAGATTCATATTTCAGTTTTAAAATGAAATGAAGTATGTGGACATCTTTCATTATATAATGAACAGATGTAGCCAAAATGAGTTAATGAATAATAAAATGAAATAAAAAAAAAAAAAACAATGGACAAATCATTAAATTAATTAATCACTCATTTTCAATTGAAGATCAGATAGTCAATAATATTATCTTTGTTAAAAAATTCCAAATAGTTCTTTTAGTTTTTCGTTTTTTTACACTGCGTAAAAATATTTGAAAGTATATTTTTTGAATTTGGAAGATGAAAATCATAAGGAATTCGGAATTTTCACCTCCAATTCAGTAATTAATGTCTTTTGTGATTCATAACATAACAACAAAAAGAAAAATTAATTTTTGTTCTGCTGTCATTACTTGGAGAAAGTGAAAAAGAAATGATTAAAATAAAAGACATTAATTAGTATTTGAATGAAGAAGAGAGAAATACACGGAAGAGTATTTGAATATTAATTAGAATAGTTTTGAAGGATTTCATGGCAATTTTATTCGAACTCCGTGCGACGAGTTTGAAATATAAAGTAGTGTATAAACAGAGCAGAGTATAAACTATACAAAATATAATAAATGCTTTTCAAAGATTATGAAAAAATACCATCCATTGCACAATCTTATCTAATTTATTTACAAAAAAAAAGAAAAAAAAATGAATTTCGAGATTTAAAATAAACAACAACTTGCACATTTAATTAGCATTTCATCCTAAAATTTCAATAAAGTGAATTAACGAGAATGATAATTTATTTTATTCCTGAAATGATCACAATTCAATTAATAACAATAATAAAACCAATAGTAGTAATTAATTGGAAAATTCAAATTATTAATTGAATAAAAAGAAAATGAAAATTTATTAGCACTAACCAATATGCATACTATTACTGCAATAATTATAAATTCTGATCGCAATATCAGATATATTTTTCCACTGTTTCTGTAAACGTTCCGTTCTTTTAACTACCTGCAAAGAACTTTTAATTATATTTTGACACTTTCAATTATAATGCAAACAGTTAGAATTCAAAGAGAAAAAGAGAAAATTAAAAACGATATCAATCAACATTGTCAACTAAATTTATAAACATTGTCGAGTTCAATAAAATTACGCAGATATTAAAAAAAAAAAAAAAAAAATGAAACAGAAAGAAATCTTTGAAAATATTAGAATTAGTAAAGCAGATAGCAGATAATGACATTTTCTAGATTTAGGTTGATAATAAATGGTAAGTAGAAAACTGCAGAATAAGTTGCAGTGTAATGAAAAAATAATTTTGATTTGATAGACAGTGATAAACAGTGATATGACAAGTGAAATCACAAGTAAATAAATATTTTTTAAATTACGAAAATAAGTGGAAGCGAATTTTTTAAATCTATTCAAAATTTAAGTAAGAAAATTGTAAAATCATTTAACAAATACTGGTTCAATTCATGAGTAACTATCATATTTTCATTTTATTATTAGGAAAGAGCATAATGATTGTAAACTGAAACAAAGTGATATGATAATGATAATGGAACACTCTAAATTCAAAATTTACTGACTTCGTATTCAGACTTTTTTTTTATTCAACAAAAGATTTGAAATATTTCTTTGTCGTTTGTTTTTTAATTTCTTAAATCTCAGTAAATTCTTAAAAGATTGAAAATAAACACTAAAACGAGATAAGGAGAGATTCGCTTAAATGATAATAAATGATAGACTGACCAATCGAGAGAATGCACACACATATATATATATGTGTATGTATGTGGAGGTCAAGCATCTGGGTCAAGTAATACTAACTCATCTACTTTTTTTATCTTTATGTTATCACTTATCTATCGTTTGAAATTCAAATATGCAATCACCACTGTGGGATTCTCTTCAATACAAGTACGACTAAGCAATTTATAGTTCTAAGAAAAAAATTTCATCCCATTTTTCTAAATTTTAAATCTTTTCTTTTGCTAATGAAAAATATATGAGAAGGAAGAAATTTTCCTATTTTTATTTCTTCGGATCAAAAAATTTCCGTTTTCAAAAAAGAAAGAATGAAAAACCAGTATTTAGTAATTTCGGAAAAATTTTTTCTAAAATTACTTCGTTTCAAAATTAAAAAGTTTTAGAAAAAACATTTCTAAAAAATTTTTGGAAATGAATTCAATATCATAAAAATTTTTATTTCAGGAGAAAAAAATTTGAAACATAGCTTTCACTTGCAAAACTAACTGACTTTTCTAAATTGTTCATGTGAGATCTCTATAGTTAGCTAGCTAATGTTACGCTATTTTATTAAAATACTAAAAGTTTTGCATATTTCAAATTTTTGAATATAATTTCGGAGATTTTTTCAAATGAATAAATGCTTAAAATTATTTGAAATGCACAGCTATTGTAATTAATAGTGATACAATAGTATGATAATATAATATGCTCTACAATTAGCTATTATCATTGTTTTTCTGATTACTGGATCATTTCCAAGGGAGTAGGATCAATCACTTCAATAATTCCGTCTTCAATGTGCAAAGAATTTCTCATCAGAAAAGATCAAAGTGAAGTAAAACAAAATTCAAATGAATTACTCTCCATTTGAAATTAAAAAAGTAAATCCATGCTTACTTCTTCGTTAACAGTCGATGTTAATGTAAATTAAATATAATGCTGGATGCCTTTAATAAATAACTTTTCTCCTTAATTACCAACAAATTTTGAAATGACAATTTTTTTGCTTATTTGATATAAGCATTTATTTGAATAATTTCCAGAAAGACTTAATGCAATGCTAAAAAATGACAAACAATTTTTGATTTGCAGGAATTTTCACTTACTACATTTTTACTTAATACAATGCAAAATTAATGCATGCATGAATTCTGTGATAGTATTGCTGAAGAATAATTATCACAGTTCAACAAGGGCTGATAACAATATCTGATTACTTATAATAAAATAATTTCGAAAGAGTATACATTTCCCAAAATGTATTTTGCGATACTTAAGTCTTTCGTTTCTTTTTTTTAAAACGTTTTTCAAAAAAAGAACATAACATTGAGGGAAAAAAAATCTCATTTCTTCGTGGTATAATAATATCTCCGCCACTTCCATTCTTTTATGATAAGAATTTCAACAATGATAATAGAAATTATTGATTACAAAGTCTATTATTACTAAACCTTTTTTGACAAATAAGAAGAAATATGCGGAAAATTTTGCTACTTAAAAAGCTTAAAGAATATTTTTAGCACTTGATAATGATAATAAAAAAGAGGATAAATTACTTATAATATTGCTGTTCACTCATTAATTGTCATAGAAAAAATGATGGCAAAGAAAGAAAAAGAATTATTGTTGTAAGATTTGATAATTTCAATATATAATTGATTTAGTAAAAAGAAAAATTCATAAAAAACACAAATAATTTCTCTAATTCAAATGGAAATAGAAAAGGACAAAGTAGTTCCAAGCGAATGTTTATATTATATTTGAGAAATTCTTTTGTCCTTAGAAAAGATCAACTTTCAGCTTTTCAAACAGAATTTCTTATTTTGGAAGGAAAAACAAAAACAAAGCGAAACAGTAAGGAAATTGACCGACTGATGATTGACATCGATTGACATAAACAAAAGTTATTCTATTTCTTAGTGGGATGACGATTTGCCCTGCTTTTTCATCCTTTTGCAATTGATGACACAAAGACCTTAGATAAAATGTTGATAACTTATCAGAGACAGTCAAAGATAGCTGAACGGAGATTTTATTCAATCGTGAGAAATACTATCGTAACAAAATATACGAAAAAAAGGAAGAAGGAAAGAAACATGGCTGTGTAGACATACACATTATCATCATGGGTACTGATAAAATCCCCAGAACTTAACGTGGGCAATTAGTTATTTCGACTAATATGCTTTTTGCAAGATGGGTAAAATATTTTTTTTGTTTGAAATATTTTGAATGAATACTGGCAAATTAAATACTGACAGCTTACGGAGGAATTCCTCTGTTTATTTGATGTTCAAATTAAATTAAGACATGTTATATGAAGCAGTGTTATCAGTATTGATAATAAGATGGCAGATAAAGATAGCATATCAATGTTTGGAAGTATATAGTGCAGTGCAATGATTAATGGATGATATCAGTTGAAGAAGCTTAATAGTAATAGAGGTAATTAATAATTAATTGCCATTTGTGATATTGAGGGAACTGATAATCATAAGATTGGCTTACTGAAGAATAAGTTAGTGATAAGTTATCATACAGGAGAAAAGAGAAAAAGAAGCAGTGCCTACCTTGTTGGTTGGATTATGCTGCATAGCCAACTGTCAACTAATTGGTCACTTATCACCACAGATTAAGAATTACGAAGCAAATCTCTCTTTTCTCCTTCTCCCTCTCTCTCTCTCCCTCTCTCTCTCTCAGTTCAACAGTTATACTGGAATATATGAATTTTACCAAGTTGCTTAGAGAGAAAATTTTCAATTAACAAGAAGCTTTCTCTCTCGGTATTTATGTTTATAGGTACGTGTGTGTATGTATGTATGTGATGTATGTATGTATGTGTGTATGTGTATGTGTGTATATATATATATAAGTGCGACAACTTTTATGGCTTTAAAAATAAAATCAACTAAAAGCTTCTGCAAACTGATAGAACCAATTTTCCCGGGAGGAAATTGGCTTCAGTCATGAGCGCTTCAATTATTTAAGTAAAAGTAAGCTAAATTGAAATGCTTTAATGGTACTTGCCACCCTCAGATCAATTAGTTAATCCCAGTTGTTTTCAATTGTCTTTTCAGAACATGGCTTTATCTTGTTGATAAGATCCATCTTGCCAATTTATATAAGTGTGCGCTTTGAAAGGAAAGATAAAATTTAATTATGCAAAGAGTTGTATTGCTTTTAATGGAAAGATAAGAAAAAAGTAGTGAAAGTATTTCTGTCATTTTAATTTATAACAAACTCTTGTCATTTCATAAATTTATTTTAATGGCATACATCATCACTTATTAGTGCACCATCAGATGACAGTTAATCATCATTTTTTAATTAATCAACTTTAAATTACATTCTGTAGAATTGATAGAAAAACAGAATTAATTAGAATTTTTATTAGTTAGTTATTACCCAAAAAACTTGTATGTAGTTCGATAATTTAGTTCAGCATTATTGGCAGATTATTGGCAGTTCAATAATTAATTGCATACCATTTTAAAAGTATCCTTTGATCTAAAGAGAGAGGGAGAGAGAAGGAGAAAAGGAGAAGGTAATAAGGATGACCTAAGAGGGAAAACAGGGAATTTGACATCCTTCTTCTAATTTTTAAATATATTTTGGATCTATGAAGTCAGAAAGTGAATCAATAATTTGAGTACCATTACACAACTAAATTAGAAGACGGAAACTGATTTATGTGCAATAAAATAGACATTGGGAAGTGAACGGAGTCGTAGGGTAGGTATATCAGCTATTAAACTATCTGATCTCCACTCTTCATCGATTGATTGATTGATTAGATCAATGATCGATTGACTGATAACGGTGGCGATTAGATGTCAAAGGAAGAAGAATTTCTAGAATCTTTAAGAATAAAAATTTTGAATGCTCACTGATTTTGTAGGATGAGATAAGTTTTTTAATCAGGGCGGGTCATTGGGTGAAAGTTGACAATTGCGCTTAAAAGGCCTACTTCTGTCAACTATGAATTATTCTATGCATTACACAATTAAATTGGACATTGAAATCACAACCTGGAAGTACTGATAATTTCATCAAAAATAAAATTAAATAATAGATAAGAGAAAAAAGGAGTAAAACTGCATTACCACAAATGAATTTAATTAAAAAATTACACCATTTCTTGGAAATAATTCAAGACTCTGATAAGA